TTCAGCCTCTCTTCTCGCCCGCTCAGCATCAAACACATGGAGTTCCTCATCTGTGTGCTCCGGCTCAAACAGGTATGGCTCTGGGTCTGTGTCCGCTACAAGAAACTCTTCAAAATCGCGTTCAAAGTCGTCCATTGCAGCTACTATAGTCCGGAGATATTGCTAGGCTAAATAAACAGCTGAGCTCTGTTTACTGGCTACGCTGTCAGTCAGTGTGCGGGCTGGAGACTGAGCAGAGAGGGGAGGGGGGTCCCCACTCAGTATGGTAAACAAGTATGTGTGTATGAAGTGTGTCTGTTACGTCAGAAGAGTCAGAGTTTGGGAGTCTTTTACACCCTGGAGTGTTACTGGAGTTTTTGGAGCGCTCAAATAAACCGGCCTTTTTCCCGAACGCTCCTCTGGTCTCCTGCTCGTGAGGGATTCATTACAATATCGTAACATGGTTTAGATTTCTAAATAAATATTCACCTCATCGCTAGATAGACCTACTCCTGAAAAACTCGTGCGCAAGGCTTTTTGTCCCTACGTGGCCACCGTCATTTACCCGACGGGAGGGGTGAGTGAGTGAGCCCTGCAATCTAGAATTTGACCACTGATGTCACTGTTTTCAACCCATTTTACACACTGGCCCTTTAATATGATTTCACATGCACATTTTTCGTTTCCTGTTCTTCACTATGACTCCGTGTACATTTCTGTTAGGCTTTACTGCTGAAGTCCGTCCACATGAGTACAATATAAAGCTGTCTTTCCTCACTGTCACACAGCCCCCCTCCCTTCCACATTGCCCTTAATTCTCTCCCAGCAAATGTCATTGAAAATGTTTAATTGAGGTGTAAAAAAAAAAAAAAAAAAAAAAAAGAAGTCCGAAATTAATTTAATACATTTAATTGGGTTAAACAAAAAATTTTGGGTTTGAAAATTTGAAAACATTTAGTTGAGGTTCAAAAAAAGCTCATCAAGGTTAGTTAGGGTTGGGTTCAGAGGTCAAGGCTGAGTGTTAGGGTTGGCTTGGATAGCGAATTAGTGTGAACTTGGTGCTTTTTGCTACCAGGCAAAAGTCCAGCTAGCAAAAAGCACCCGGCAAAATCCAGCTAGTTCATAAATATTTTCATTGTGGATTAGGGTTCTGCACACAAGAAGAGGTTCGGAAGCACTAATCTAGAACATACATGCACATTATCTATCAGTTTAATTCCAAAAATAGACACAAAATACAAACTATTTACTGATATTAGAGCAGAAGTACATCATAATCGTGTTTCCACCAAAGGTTTGTACAATACATTAGCTATGACAATTTATGACCTTAAAATTAAAATGAGCTAAAGCTTATGTTGTTTTCGGCGCCTCACTCATATCAAGGTCAACTTCCTGTTTAAAACCTGCCCCACCCGCCTACGTGATGTCACACCTATGAGGGCATGCAGTTTTAATATGGTTTTTCCACAGCTATGGCTCAACAAAAATTGAGCATAGCGTTAGTTCAGGCAGGACATGATGTCAAGCTAAGCTCACATCCCACCTACATCAGCTGATCTCAAACAGCCAATCAACTGATGGAGCAGCTGATTGATGGAAGGGAGTCAGCTGATAGATCACATGATTCTTTTCTATGCAACCAATTGGCAAATCTCATTCAGGGCGCCCTATTTAAACTGCTCTGGCCTGCCTACTGTTGCTGCTTCCTCTGCAAGCCGTTTTGCAACCCGTCTCCACCCCAGCTCCTCCTTTTCATGCTGTGTCTGACTTATCAATGTCATTTCTGTTTGTCATTGATGCTGCTCTGTTCTGTTCTGGGGGGGGGGGGGGGTCTTTGCTGCTGCTCTCCCTGCCTTAGGCTGTCCATGTAGGCACATGGAAGGGCAGAGAGGTATGATCTCCCTGCCTCAGGCTTTCCATTTAGGTACATGGAAGGGCAGAGAGATGGGGTCTCTCTGTCTTAGGCTTTCCACACGGGCACGTGGAGGGGCAGAGAGGTGTGCTCTCTCGTTTGCACTTGGAAGGGCAGACAGGTGTGCTCTCTCCGCCTCAGGCTTTCCACGTAGGCACATGGAAGAGATGGCAGAGGCCCCAGGACAGAGGCCCCAGGACAGAGCCATACTGCCAAAAATAATACTGCAAAAGGAAATAAAGTTTTCCTCAACTAAGGCGCTCCTGACTGAAGTTTTTTTTCTCTCTCATCAGGTGAGAAAATAAACCCTGTGTAGTTATACTGTCCCATTTGACCTTATGTCCAAATTGCCCTTAATTCACCCTAAGGTTTTGAGTGTAAGACTTTTAGTTGTAGTGGAGTATTTACTCATGCTGCAGTAAACGACCTGAATACTTGCTCCACCACTGGTCACATCTGCTCGTGCTGAACCCAAAGCTTTCAATATTCTGTAACAGACACACAGACAAAGGAGGCGGACAGGAAGTGTTATAACATTTATTATTATAGGGCGTCACACAACACAGAATAACATGAACACATGCTGCTTGAAATGCCATGCTGGATCAGTTTTCCCCAAAGGCCAGTGTTAACATGAGAAGCCACCAGATAAATCCACAATATCATTTAAATAGAGGTTACACATCAGACGACAGATGGACGTGTTTCAGATGAAGAGTTAAGGCGTAGGTCTCTAGTGTTTGGTCTTTAATAAATGCCACTTAGAACAACACAAAGATCTGATTAGACAATACAAGTTAAAAAAAAGGGTTGGTTTTTTTTCTGGCACACGATATAATGGCCAAAATAAAAAATGAAAATACTTTAAGAGGTCCAGAAGCCAAAGGAAAAGCTGTTAAATGCTACTCAACACCATAATATTTAACTAGATATTTAAATCTATATCGTTCCCTTACACATTTGCATTAAAGTTCTAGAAGTACATAAAACTGAAAAAATAGAAAGAGGAAAACTTACAGCTGAACACTATATATTTATAACATTCATATATTCTACAAGTCGATCTTTGTCTTACAGTAAATTCATGATAGAATATCACATCAGTACTCCCAATGCTATGATCACAAGTCAACAGACTGCACATTTAAGTGTGAATGACCTCTTCATTGTTTAACAACAAAGGCACTGAGTACAAATAAAATCTATTTTTCTAATTAAAAGGAGCAATACAAAGTATAACACTAAGTTAACCATTTTATTCAGATGCTTTAACCTTTTCCCAGCTTGGAAACTGCGGAGGACTAATTCTGCCAAAATAAAATAAATAAATAAATGACTTGATAAATAAATTATGCCATTAAATGTACGAAAAATAGTATTAAAAACAAAAATAATAAAATGTGACCTTTGTATTGGTTCCCCTATTTATTTACTTGCCTGCTTACTTTCCCAATTTATTTATTTGCATTAATTTTTAAATGTATTAATTTATATTTGCATTTATTTTTACATGTATTTATTTATAAATATATTTAATTCTATAAATATTTATGCATTTTTTTTTCTGAATTTATTTATTTTTGTATTATTTTCTTTCCCCCCCATTATTTCTTGTTATGAGGTCAACTGTGGTTTATCAACATTAGAGTGCATAGATCCACTAAATATTCATTGCTTCTATAATGCCAAGCCTAAATAAATAAATTCATCTTAAAAAATCAAAAATAAATCAAAAATAAATGCAAAAATAAATACATTTAAAAATTAGTTATATATATTGATGGGGAATCAATTTTTTAAAAGGAAATATATATAAAAAGAATTTTGAAATCAGCTATGTCACATTTGTTTTTAATTTTTTTGGCACATTTAATGTCATATCAATTTGTTTATCAAGTCTTTTTTTTTTTTTTTTTTTCATATCAATTTGTTTATCAAGTCTTTTTTTTTTTTTTTTTTAATGTTTGATTTTGGCAGTCTCGGCCCTCCATACAAAACAACCACTTGCAGTTGATTCATCTCAGATATGTAAAGAACATAATGCTACATTTTTATACTGTCAAGACAATTCTGAAGCGGTTTTCTCACCGTGAATACTTTTAGAAACATCTCTGGGGGTAAAGTTTTGTATTTCCAGATCAGCCACTGTGTTTGACAAAAAATGTCAATCATGTATTGTCCAGCCGAATTAAAATGACACTTGTCACAATCTCCTCCGTGTCCCTGAAGTACAGTTTGAAAATGGAGATAAGATTTTAATGACTGATGACTGATGTCTAATTAACTTGTTAAAAAATACTGGCCTTTCCAAATGATGGTAAAGAACATTAAACATCAAACAAGTTAACAACGTTACTGTATTTGTGGCAAGACAGGCAGCGTTTTCACCAACAGTTACAACTGGTCAAATAAGGAGACACACATCTGAAAGGAAACGGTCACACTCACATCAAAGACAGAAACAAGATGAAATTTGCTCAGACCAAACAAGCCACATGTTTATTCACAGAAAATTAAGAAAACGGTGCGACTATGAAAACTTTTGTTTGATAACGGTCAGTGGCAAAATAGAAACAATATATTTAAAGGTCACAGATTCTGTAAAGTGGTTAAAGATAATTCACAAAGTGATTAAAACAGGAAATTAAAACAGGGCAGCCTGGATGAAATAGTTAAACAACACAGGTATGAAAATAAAAGTAATAAAAATTTATAACAGCAGCAACAAAAGGCTCATTTGGGTTTAAATCCTGCCATCTAGAGGTTGAAACTTGTTGCACACTGTCCTCATGTCACAATTGATCATGTAACACTGAGCCATCACTTTGTCATCTGGCTTTCAACAGTTAAATGATTGTAACAGACTACGTGTGGTAATTCGACTGAAGAGAAGAAATGAGAGCTGAAAAAAGAGTCATTGGTCCAACCACTCGATTAACATCTACCAAACTGAAGACAAACCCCCTTGTCACACCTCAATTATCCTGCAACTTACTGAGGCACGGACTGACTGAATGTAACATTATATTCCTGCTTTGTCATCACAGATTTGGTGACAACTTTCAAACTGAAGATGTGAGGGGGATGTTACTGTTTAAAGTTATAAAATATGTATATAGTGATGGACAGATTACGAGAAAATGGGTCCCCGGGTGCAGACATGGAAAAAACAACAACACACGAACACACTCCTTCTACAAAGGAGCAAGACCCCCACACTGAAAGAGACAAAAACATAGTTTCTAGTCGTGAAGTGTGTCTTTGTGGTTGTTTGTATGCAGGGTTCCCACACTTTCAACACAATATTTAACCCCATATCCATGATTTGAAGTAAAATGTGTCCTGATACAGCCATACACTATCAAACACGCCCTTTCCTGGCATTTGCAGATAAGTTAACTGCTAGCACTTGCCAACTTTACTCACTTATTAGACATTCAAGCCACTGCCTAGCTGCAGATGATGCCAATAGAGCTGACTCGCACATACGGGTACTTTTTGTGCTTCTTTCCCCCAAAAGGGAGCGTGTATCACATGATACTAGTGACGTTTCAACAGTCATGCAGCGCAGCACTACATTTTAAATCCGTAATACAAGGAACATGTACATGTAATGTTAGACATGTTTATGAACATATGTTAAACAGCCAACATAATGTGTATTCAACACCTTTCCAAAACATTGTTATTTCCAAACAATTTCCAGGCCTTAATCATTTCATAACTTTTCAAGGAATTTCGTGGGAACCCTGTTTATGTCTATGTGGTGGTTTTACGTCTCTTTGTGGTTGTGTTGTGTTCCTTTATAGTCGTTTTATGTCTTTGTGGTTGTGTTGTGTTCCTTTATAGTCATTTTACATCTCTATGTGGTTGTTTTATGTCTCTTTATGGATGTGTTGTTCCTTTTTTGTTGTTTTCTGTCTCTTTGCAATCAGTTGGTATGTCTTTGAGGTTGTCTGATTTTTCTTTCCAATAAAGGGCCGTCCACACTGAGAATGATAACTAAAAATGGTTCTAACTCAAGTGGATGGTGTAGGCCACACCACAACTTTAACGAAAGTGACAGTCTGGATCACTTTCAGAGCGAACACAGACAGCCGGTCAAAATCAAATCCACCTGAATTTACAGGGTGTCACAGCTGGGGCGTGCAGCGTTTGGCACCAGTGTTTACATAACTTTATTGTTCATCAGTGTTGATGCTCATATTATTATTGTTCTTGATGTGGACGGCTCCTAAGGTGTGTCAACAGTCACTTCAAACAGAGTGTCTGGCCCCAGGGCCCCCTGACCCTTTGGGCCCTTAGGCCTTTGCCCGGGTGGCTCATTTAATAATCCATCCATGACTGTAGTCTACAAAATATTTCAAAACAACATTGGAGCAACATGTGACAGTATCTGAGTAGGAGGAGGACTGACAGTTCATCTCAGGAGGAGTAAAGAGACAGAGAGGAGTAACAAAATGGATTAAAGCTCAGACCCTGAACGATTACCACTCGAGTTATAAAGAAATGTCCGGTAAGCCCGGCAGGCGTCCAGGGTTTCTTCTTTAAGGCTAAACTTCTCTAAGTATGGCTTTGTGTGTATCGTGGCCTATGAGTCCAAACATGCGACAAAAGTGAAGAGTAAACACTGTTGTTAGTACAAGCAGATGTTACAAGAGCGATATTAAAACTTAATCCAGCTATAACACAGCGATATACTGTGTGACATACAGTGATATATTTATATATATATAGTGATTGTGACATAAATCCAACTAAAGCCAAACCACTTACTGTCCTAAGGTATGGGCACTTGAGTGGTGAACAGGCACTGCACATCAGAAAGAGAAGACAGGCAACATGACAGAGGTAAGAATTATCATACAAGTGATTCAGATAGTACTGATACCATAATAAATTTTACAATCACAGTGGGTGAAGATCTGGTATGTGTAACAGCGGTTTGGTAATCCATCGAGATCTCTCTGAGTTAGAGTTAACTAATCTATGAAAGCATAAAGGCAAAGGAAAAATAAAAGCTGCCCATCACACTGGGCTCAGTCTACTGCGAGGTACATCACTAACTGGGCGCTGAGCATTGGATGACAGTTGGAGGATGAAGAGGCGGGAGCTGCTCCCAACGGTGAATACACCTGACAGGGAGGTGGTGCACTCCAAACTCCAGGCAGAAACTTAAACAGCTCTGGAGAACAATATCAAGATTTGGCCGTTGTGTTTTGGACTCTTTCCAGCACTGAAGACTGGAGGCTTCTCCCTCCAAAAACTTTATCTAACACCACCACATTCAAAGTGGGCCGACTGGAGAGGATGGCAGCATATAATCCTGGCTAACTAGTGCAGTGTGATAAGGATCAATGTATCTACAACTAAAAACAAAACATATAATCTGGTCCTTTAGAAGTAAGGCCCCAGCTTTTTTTTCCTTTAGAAAATTAAAAACCTCTTAAAAATATAAAAACTTCTTGGTTGGTGTCAAGTGTTTCTGGTCAAAGGCAGTTGCATAAGGGGTCAGAGGCTGAAAAAACTCTTTTCATGCTTGAGGCAGATATATGTGGAAGGATTCAGAGTAACGAGGCTCTGGCCTGATTCATCAGATGGCTGTTTGGCACTGTGGGCCCATCATCTTCTGGAGCGCAGGGATCTGTGGGGACAGGGGACAAGACGATTAGCTGGTTTTAACGGAGAGTCACAAAAATAAAGGGCCTAACTCACAGTGCTGTCAAACATTCAGACACAATTCCTCTATGTACACATTAATCTCTACATTTACACATTTAATAAACAAAACTAAGAAATGCTACACTTTTCTTTTTGCTCCCATTTTTCCACAAGTTGAAATTAAAGATTTGAGACTTTTTCTATGCACACAAAAGACTTAGCTCGCTCTCATTTATGTATCTCCCTTAGTCTGACTCACCTGATGTTAACTGTGGCTATAAGCCTACTGTTGGCCAACTGTCTCCCTTCCTTCCACTGTTACCATTTTCAAAATCCCCTTTTGCTACGGAAAACAACAACAACCTCCAACCCCACAATTTACACACTGAAAGTGGCAAGTTTTGCCAAACATTTGGATCGTGCAATAAGTCATGTCCGAGTTGTTCTTTCAGTGAATTGATGTATAGATCTACAGTGGACAGAACAACTTGCTAACGCACTTTGGAAAACCCCCGACTTCATCTTGCTGTACTTAAATGCCTGATGTTGATCTGTTTTCTGACACAGCCAGCTGGAGTTGATTTGCAACGAATTTTGAAATGTCTCCAGCCAAACAACGCCTAAATGTGTTCCTTTTTGCGCCAGGGGTGTGATCTCGGACCGTCCCAATTCCAAGCCAGATCAGCAAACCTTCTATTGCTGCTGTCAAAGGAGCTGATCTCCTCCTGGAGAATCTGCACGGTTAGCACGAGCTAACACAGCAGCCGCACTAACTGCACTGAAACATTATACGTTTCAAACAAACTCACACTGACAACAAGGCAGCTAGACTCTTTTGTTAAACCTGTTAGTGACCATTAAGTTATGTTAGCCGTGTGATGCTAACAGTTAGCCCTGATGCTGTGTGTGTTCCCCCGACACTATTTTGCAAGGGCAACGTCACTACATCCTGGGCTTTGAGGATTGTGATTGGTTTAGAGAAACAAACACAAGCACATGGTAATATGGTGATTCCAGAGCTTTCTCAAGTGCTGACACAGCGCTGTGCAGCTAGGTCTCGCTACAGGAGGCAACAATGATGCTCTCTTGATCTCGATTGTTTGCTGTGAGATGGTCATAAAACTCAGTCCGAGCTGCCTTAACTCAGTCTTTTTCTCATCTTGATGTTCCCGTGAAATCAAACTAGTTTATTATTTTGGTAAGGTTTTAGTTTTGGTTCGTGCAAATACTGAAGTTCTAGACATGAACACTGTCAACAATCAATAGCTTTGCCCTCTCCAGCACCAAACAGGAAGCTGCAAACTGTGTAGACAGTAAAAATCAAGGGGACTCTGGGGAGGTGCAAGAACGTGAACAAGTCTTGGTTTTCTTGGATTGTGCAAAGGAGGAGAGACTGGTGGAGTTGTGGAGTGAAGAAGGGTCGGTGTTAAATCCAGTGTGTATCTGATCCACCAACCAGCACTTATTTTGGTAAAGAATCTTAATTATTAAAACAGTTTGCTTCTCATTCCCTCAGTCTCCTCCCTCTAAAATACCACAGCTAACCAACAGAGGGTGGCAGCGAGTTGAGGCAACAGAATCCAAAATGTAAAGTACACAAATACAGTTTATCTCTATTATGGATTATATTGATGCCAAATTGACAATAATACTGTCGACATATGACACCTTTTATCTTGTATTTCTAGTTAAGTATTTTTGCAGTCATGTAAGAAATTGTTAATATGTCATATTCCTTAAAGGGAGTTTGGTGTAATATTTTCCACCAGGAGCAGAATGGGAAATAATCTTAAAAGGATTCTAGTTGAAGACGTGAAAATAGTGATGCAACAAGATCCCCAGCCTTTGCAAAATCTTATAGACCGTGATTTAAAACTCATTTTGTCTTTAGATGACAGAAGGTGTCAGACTAAAGTCTTTTAAAAAGTCTTTCAAAGTGTTCTAGTGTGTGACAGGCATTAGTGAGCACTTCTCCTTTTCCAAGATAATCCACCCACTGGACATTAACAGCAACACAACTACACAGGTGTGTCTTGCGCTGGTCCCAATAAAAGGCCGCTCTTAATGTGCAGTTTTGACACAGATGTCGCAAGTATTTCGACAAGCCATCCAGATAGCTGATGCAACAACTGATTTGCTCATTGAAGAATTTCTGCACCAACTGTCAAAAACCGTGTCAGGACAGTTAAAAGATACTTAGTTTATCAAATATCCCACAGTTGTTTTATGGACTGAAAATGTGAATTTATTGGATTCTTCTATGTCATTGTCTTTGTACGAAAAAAGACTTAGAAATGCTCTGCTCTCAAAATCATTTGATTTACAACACTGATTGCTTTTGGGATCTGTTGATGCTTGGTGTAGTAATGCTTTACATTTGAATTTTAACTGTACAGTTACATGCTGAAAAGCTTTCTTAATTCTAGTGTTTAAAATATATTGACATATTTGACTGTTGTATTTTACCACTTAATGTCTTCTGGGTATGGTTTTCATACAAGCCACCCTCACATGCACTTTTTTATCATTTTATTCCCTTTTGTTTTGTAATTATATATGTGAAACAAATAAAATAAAAAGTAAAATACTAAAAGATAAGTTCATCTGTGTGCTCATCATCCTCTGCTGTGTCTTGACCTGACTGCAGTTCATCTTCGTAACCAACTTAAGTGAGCAAATCTTCACTTTCGATGGCGTCTGACACTTCAGAGAAATGCTCTCTTCATGGATGAATCCCATGTGAATAAAAAAATGCATATAAGTAACCCTAGTTGTGTCAAATCCATAATGCAGAGTGCCTAATAAATGTATTTTTCAAGATGAAACTTCACATTTTAGAGCAGCTTTTTTATGGTGACCTGCCCAAGGCACACCTGTGTAGTAATGATGCTGTTTAATAAGCATCTTGATTTGACACCTGTCAGGTGGACGGATTATCTTGGCAAAGAAGTTCTCACTAACACAGATACTAAGAAATGTGTGACCAAAATGTGACACAAGAATTTAGAAAAAGTCTTTTATTTCAACTTGTAAAAAATGGGAGCAAAAACAAAAGTGTTGCATTTTATATTTTTTGTTTTGTGTACTAGTAAAACATGGCAAGAGATTTTTTAAGAGTAACTTCAGCACCCCCCGACGACCAATGTTGTGGCTGACATGGGGCTGATGATATCTAATTATGGCCAGTTATTCTGAGTTAAGACCATTTACAAGTATCGTGTTTCTGTAACACAAGCTGTAGACAGAATGCCATTAAACGTTATTGAGTCAGTATGTTCGTGTGACAACTAAATTAAGTTGAAACTCCATCAATCATAGCCTCACTGGTGCAACAAATAAAACAATGTTATGTACAAAATTTACTACAAACTGGATGAAATTTGTAGGATGATGAAAATAACCGGTTTGAAAAAAACAAAACCCTCTTTTAAATCTGTGTTAATTTAATTTCTTAGCCACTCACGGGCAGCTGACAAAGCTGAACATTCAACACTGACATCATCACCTCGTGAAGTTGTTATGGTGACCACTGTCAGCAAACATTCGCTTATTTACACAACAAGATTTTCAGTTTTTAGTCACAACTAATAAACTTTGTTCTTATGTGGGTGGTAAAATTCTCCATGTGGCTTCCCAGGCTGCTTCCAAACTGCACTGCATTCTTGTGCTGATTTGTTGTCCGTGAAGACGATAAACTAAAAGCATGGACGCCGCAGCTTTGTGAAATGGAGAACTGTTGAGCGTTAGTGGGTGTTTGTGCTCAACTAAATGCCCTCTGGCCCTCAAGCTGTTAAAATAATGTTTCATTCCACTGAAAATCTAATTTCTGGAACAGAACAGCATCACGAGGCTGCTTCGTATTCTGTTTTTAATTTACCAGCAATCATACAGCTGACCTATAAGATAACACAAGGGGTGTGGTGAAGCATGTGTGATGAACTGCTGCTCTCACCTTAGTCAGATCCACCCCGGTGAGGGCGTTGACAGACACGGGGAGTTCAGCTAGTAGACGGGTCACCTCTCCAGTCACGCGGCTGCCCTCTCCACTCAGGATGACAATCTCATTGGTCTTGGACAGCGGTGCAGCCACCTTACTGGCAATCTGTTAACACAAACGAGCATCTGTTTGTTATTCCACTGACAAAACACTCCTCATCTGGAGAACAGAAGCTGTCAAATCGAAATTAAATAAAAACATAAATGACTTGATAAATACATAAATATGTCATTAAAATAACCAAAAATAATATTAAAAATAAATGTAGGTATTTTTAATTAATAAATTGTAACATAATTATTCTTTCTGTTTTAATTCTTTTTTTATCTACCTTTGAATTCATTCCCCTATTTACACTACTATTTCAGTTTCAAAAGCTAATAAATGCATCAAAAACATTACATAAAAAATTTATATACAATAAATACATTTTAAAAATAATATAT